ATATATATACACTAATATCTATACGTGTGTGTGTGTTTGTGTGTGTGTGTGTTTGCTATCCTTTTGTGGCCAGGTCAGACAACAACAACAACTAAAACAACAACAGTCAGCAGCAGCAGCAGGAGTCCAACTTGAGCCTCGGCACGCAGTTCGAATCAGAAATGAGCAAAATAGATTTCGGTTGCTGCCTCGTCATCATCATGATGATGATGATTATAATTATGAGGTTACAGTGCGCACTCGTTAGCGGGCACTGACGGGATATAAATAATTATTGTTGTAGACAACAAAAATGAAAGCAATTTGTTAGAATCGTTTTAGATGTTTAATGAATGGAATAAACAATTGTTAAATGGAAAGAAATAATAAATCTACAATTTATTTTCATTTTGCTTTCTATATTGAAGGTGGTATAAATATTTGTATATATTTTTTAATTAAATTGCCTTGAAAAATATACAACTTGCTAAAAGTTCAATATATTTTTAATTTTTTATTTAATTTATCCATAAAGAAATAAAGAAATAACTCTGAAGCCGCAAGTTTTCCATTTTCGAGTGTGCACTGTAGCCAGCATCATGACAGCTCCTTATAAAACTGACACAGATTCAGACACACACACACAGACACAATCAGGACAGCACAGAGAGCGAGAGAGAGGGAGAGAGAGAGATGGAGAGAGAGAGAGAGAGAGAGCAGCACGCTGCCTGCATGCACATATATATAATATAGCTGCAGGGTAGTCAGCTACAGATACATGCACTACACGCTCTCTCTCTCTCTCTCTCTCTCTCTCTCACACACACACACTGTCCATCTCTCTCTCTTTCGGTGTGCTGGTTGTGCTCTCAATTTCATCCCCTGCCGTTGGCAGATAGTCAGCAGCTCGATCATCAGCAGCAGCAGCCGGGGCATCATCATCTTCATCATCATCATCATTTGGTGGCATCCTGTGGTATAACCACCAGCACAACAACCAACCAAAGGGACGTCACTACCAGTACCCACTCCCATTGCCATTCCCCATTCCCATTGCGATTTGCAGCAAACAGCAGCAGCAGGAGCAGAAGCAGCAGCAGCAGAAGAAGCAGCAGCAGAAGCAGCGACAACAGCAGCAGCAGCAGCCGCCGCCGCCGCAACAGTCATTCAGTCAGTCAGAACATCATCACTTAGTCAGTCAGTTGGTCGCTGAGCGAGCGCTCGCAAATCGGGAATCACAATTTTTTGTCGACGCTGTCGTCGCTGTCGCTGTCGCCGTCGCCGTCGCTGCTCACGCTGGCGTCGCAGTTGACGTTGCCGTTGCCGTTGCCGTTTATACTGCTTCTTTTTTTTTGTTTTTGCGCTATCGTCGCGCTGCCAGCGTCACATATCCGTTCGGTACTCAGTCTTGCGAAGACAACCGGCAGATAGAGACGACACCAAAATCGAATAAATACTAGAATCAAATATATATATATCTCAATAATATATACTAAATATACATAAAGAAAACACTCATACGCAACGTGGGCCGCGCTTTCAGCCATGTTGTTGCAGTGTCGCGTGTGGCAAATGTGCTTTGGCAAATGAAAATTGGAAATTGTTTACACTTGGAAATTGTGATAGTTAAAAAAGACAACGAGTAGCGAATCATGTTATTCGATCGTTATATTATATCAGGTTGGTTCCAATAACGGTCATTTAGTGAATATAAACGAAGCCGCTTCTTCCCCCCTCAACCCTCCCCACCCCCCACTCCCCTCTCTCCCTGCATGTAATGTGTTATCAGTTCTTTATTGCGAATAGCAAGTTTTGAGTTACCAATTTGATGAAGCTGTCACAAATATTTATTGCACCAGCTACTAAAAACATTGAGCCATGTGTAAATATATAAACTCTTTATATAGATATATATATATATCACTTGGATAAAAAGACTATATAGAAAACGGATTCAGTTTTCTAGTCATTGTGTATCAGTGCAGACGTGTAAAGCTTTGTGTCAATTATTATTGTCAAAGTGGGCAAAGAAAGTGTGAATAAGCCAAACAAATAAAACTTGATTATCAATAATATAAATTATATTTACTTCCAAACATTATTATTAGTATACTTAATAAGGAGTATCTTCATAATACATTATAAATAGTTTATATAGTTCATGTGAAGAATAACCGCAATGATTTATTCAACCAGTGCTGTTGTTGAACTACTTTGTAATCCATATAATTAATTGTGTGATTTTTGCGATTAATCATCATCATTTATTGGTGTAACAAAGGGTAACTTTTGCATTTAACTATTTTATCAAATGGTATTTGTAATTTGAAAGCTTAATGCCATTGGCCCAGATTAATTAGAAACAACTTTATTAGCTAGTTTCAATATGTTTGGTCTGATTACATTAAAAGTGTGTGAAACCATACGAATAGTGCAAACATTCAAGAATTATGCCACATAATAAAATCTAAGCACATTATTAACAAGCTGTAATTGTGGAAGAGATTAATATATAGAAAAGATAACAATAAATTTGACTGTTTCAACATTTTTTAAAGATAAATCGCTGTTCCAAAAAAATGCCAATCGCAAATTGTAGAAGCAGTTTTCGCTTTAGCTGATTCACAACTGGCATCTTATCAATGCAAATCGGCAGCTTGGAACAATCGGAGCCACTTTTAAAACAAACCTCAAACATAATTAACTAAACTAATTAGAACGACAAAAACCCAAAATAAAAACAACAACAACAACAACAAAAAACATGTGTGGCGCACTAAGTGGATGTGAATAATAAATAGTCATGATAGCTGTGAAGAAACCAATGAAGAGGAAGCTACCCCAAAAATAAAATAAAAAAATAAATAAAAAAGAACCGCATAAAGAAGCATAAAGAACCTACTGATACGGGGTACTCATCGCTCTTATCGCGCCAGAATGTCAATCTATACTATGGAACAGTTATAGCTAGAGGCTAGGGCGATTATAACTGTATAGTTGTATTTAACTGATCGGTGCTGATGGAGATTCGGCGGACTCGATGGACTCGGTGCGGTGGATAGGCGCGAAGACAGGCGGCTCTTGAAGGCACTTCAAAAAAAAGTAAAAAAAAAATAAACCAAAAATAAAACAAAGAAAGATTTGGATGAAGATGTTGCCTGGGTTTGTTTGAGGATTGTGCAGGATATTTGCTGTTGTTGTTGCTGTTGTTGTTGTTGGTTTGCTATGCAAATAGCGTGTGCCAAGCAAGTGCGAAACTTGTCAGCTTGTTGAGGATTGTTGCCGATTGTGGATTGAGTATCGGTTGTTCGGAGCACTTGTGTGCGGCTTATTTATATGGCAGATACTTATCAAGTGAACAACATTCAGACGTATTACTGTTACTACCTATTACGATTGTTGACTGTTCGATATCGTTTCCCCCGTTTTCGAATTTCGTTCTCGTTTTCATTTTGGCCGCTTATCTGTGGCACTTGGGCAGTTGGGACGACAGCGCTTGTCATATTTTGTCTAACAGCTCAAATTACGATTTAGTTTCAAGTGTTTAAATAAGGCGGTGTAGGCACATACAAAACACAACACAACACAACACAACACAACACACAAACTACAAGACCCAGACCAACCAACAACAACAACCAGAACAACAACAGCAACAATAAAACGCCTTAACAACAAATAAATAAATAATCGGTGCGTAATTTGTGCAAGTCTTATTCTTTTTCCTCTTTGGGACAAGTGTTTTTATGTTTATCTCTCTTCGTGTGTGTCTCAGTTGAGATTGCAGTGTTTTAAGGGTTTTCCTAAGGCTCCTTGGCAACAAAGAGGGTGGCAGTGTGGGCTGGTAGAGGCAGTTTGAGTTATTAGCAATGTAATTTTTGCATATTTTTAATCAGATTATGTCTTATGCGCAAATCTTTCATTTTTTTAAATTTATTTATTTTATTATTTTAGAGTTTTATTATTATTATTGTGGGCCTTATGCACTGCGACATAGTTTGATATATGGCTAAGAAGTGAAAAGAATGTATAACAAATTTTGACAAATTCTCGTCTTAAGTAAATGCTTTGAGGAATAGCCTAAAGTTGACGATATCATCTATCGCTGAGTTAAGTGTCAGTCTCAAATGTCTAGTCTGTTTCGAGGAATCGTTGTGTTTTTTTGTCTATTTATTTGATAAGCAACAGCTGAACATGTCACATCTTTCGAAATAAATCGAAAACAAGTGCAGAAATATAAATTCAATATAGCAAAACAAAAGCAAACCGAACAACAAAATATATATAGAAATATTTGGAATAGTTTCTCAAGACATTGTTTGCACAGGCCGCATTCAAAACAAATTTATTAACAACATACAAACAAGCAATCAAGTAATTCGATCTACAGGTGAGCTTTCAAAACGCACTCCACACGGTGGCATAGTGGCAGAGTGCCAGATTGGCAGATTGGCACAGTGGGACGCAAGTGAGAGATAATCGATGATAGGATATGTCAGAATTGAGAGCTCGAGTGACTGATTGGCTGCTTAGACAAGGTGAAGTGCAATCGAAATTGCAAAATCAATGAGCCAAACACCAATTTAAACAGCGATGACATCTCCGATATACTGCGACTGATATTCCTATATGTATATATATATATATATATATAGTGTCACAGATATGATTGTCTTTATCTGTGCCGTGACTTCTATTTGCGGACTGACAGACGCCTGGCAATTGATTCTGATTGGGATTAGAGAACCACTCGAGTTGCAACATAAAAGTTTAGGCTTAATCGTAATTCTTCTTATTGCTAATCTATTTCTTCTCGTGACGTTATTCGTTATTCCGTAATCGATTTCTTCGCATTATGGGTACAAAGTTTAATACGAATCGTTAATCGCTTATCGATCGATCAATTCGATTATTTTGGCTTAGCGATAGAAAGAAAGCTTGTCGAATTCTTTGAAGTTTAACTTTGATCAATTCTTAACACTTATCGTTAATCGATTAATTCTTGACTTTATCGATAACAGGCTCTAACGGCGACGATTACGATCCGAGCGTCGTGCGCCATCATCACCATCATCATCACCACTTGGATCACAGCAGTGGGGCGCCGGCATTTGCACCATTGCCGCCGGCGCATCTAACCTCCGGTCAGACGAGGCCCGAGGAATCGTTTGGTCGCCACCTGCCGCCAACGATATCCCCGCCACCAGCAACGCTCCAGCAGCAGCAGCAGCAGCATCAACAGCAGCAGCAGCAGCAACAGCTGCAACATTCACCGCCCACGCTGCCGCCTGCCTCAGCGTCCGTCTCCAACGGTTCCAGCATGGAGCATCTGTTCAATGACAAGGCGCAGGCGGAACGCTTTCTGCTGGAGATGGCGCGTCTGCGCGAACCCGTCTGTGATCTGGATATACGTGATACTGGCGTCTATGCCAAGACACATCTGCCCCGAGGCACCCGCTACGGACCCTTTCCCATGCGACTCTGCCAGCAGCCCAGCGATCGACACTTGGCCTGGGAGGTGAGTCAAACATTTCGATTCATAAATTATCCCTATATCTATCTATATCTATATCTATATCTATATCTATATCTAGAAGAACATAAGCTTTCATTGAGATTATTTTCTTGAGCATTTACACGAGCCTAATCCAATTTATATCAATTGCAAATATTTATTTACTGATTAAAACAATTAGCAAGCACTTTAAAAACTGCCAATCTAAAAAAAACGAATTTTTCCAAATTAAACAACAAAATTATTAGCAGGAAATACTTTGCTGGCATTATCATAGAAAAGATTAGCAAAATCATTAGCAGGAAATGCTTTTTTAGCATTATCATTAAAAAAAGTTTATAGTTTTTCAACTACAAATTATTTATACAAATTTTTAAGTGTGCTTATTATTTTATCATTTAAATGTAGTATTTTTCTAGATGTGCAGCCATGATAAAAAAATATATTGGTTTGAAAAATCGTTACAATTTTGCCGTAGAAATTGTCGCTTGCTAATTGCGAATCTTTTTTTTTTTTTTATATAGAGACAAATACATTTCTACTGTTACATGGCAGCTATAATCCTTTCGCATATGTGCGAATATTGCCTGCGAGTCGTCTCCAATTACCGTTGGGAAATTTAATCCCATCAAATCTGCGCGCGAAACTTTATTTTAGATGAAAATTGCACAAAAATTGCAAGCATTTTTTTTTGGTTTTCTTTCTTTTTGTGTGGAAAATCAAACGATTGGAAATAGATTTGATTAGCAGGAGCTAGGGTCGGCGGTGGCACGCCTGGGTACACTCACAATTGTCAGTCAAATGTGCTTAATCCTCGGCCAGAGCTAATTTCCTGGTCTCACCAGCAAAAATCCACAAAGTGCACCCTAAATGAGGCTTAAGTTGAGGCCCGCCTGATGATGATTCCAATTAGTTTGGGACGCACCCGACCAAACGAAAAACGAACCCTTCGATCGATTGTCAGTCAGTCAATCCGTCCGTCCGTCTCTTTGTCTGTCGGTCAGCCAACTGACACTTTAGCAGCTACTGCTGCCAGGCAGACAGAAACTGACAAACTGACAGACAATCCAATCAAATTATCGCGCCTAGTCCTGTTGATAATTGTCGTAGGTTTTCGTAGGCTCTACCTACTGTCCTGGAGGGTATCTGTGTCCGTCTGTCTGTCCGTTTGTCATTCAGGTATTGCAACAATATTATTGTTATTGTTATTGTTGTTGTCGTTCTTGCCACTCGAGCCAAAGCGACAACAACTGCAAAAATTGGCAAGCTACACGCAGAGAAAAATGGCAACTAATATTCAAGTGCGATGCAGTTGAAATACTTAAAATAATTCCAGTAAAAAATAGGTATTCTAAAGTTTTTACTAGCTAAAAATCTATCTTGATCAGCTGAAAGTGGAATAATCATTGGAATAATCATTATACTTGAAAATTGGTTAGTTGTATGTTAAGATGATATCAAAACTGCTTTAAGAACCTGTTTAGTAATGAGAACAAGCAAACTTAATTTATTCTGTGACATTCTGATATCTCTAGCGTTGTTAAATATAAATTTTCGCTTTATATTTTTTCTGAGTGTAGACGTTGACAGTTCTGTCGGCTGATCCCTTCCCTTTTTCCTGGATGATCCTCAAATCAAGCGCACTTTTCTCTCGTTCACATTTCCGTTTTGACAGATACATTGGCCGTACCTTTAGCTGTATCTGTATCTGTATTTGTATCTGTATCTGTATCTCTATCTGTAGCTGTAGCTGTAGTTATGTTTCCCGTTCCGCTTTGAAACGTTGGTGTGAACCGAACACTTTTGAGATTATCTCTGGCGCGTAAATATTTTTCTTGCCCATTGACTGTGCCCATGTTTTTGAACGGTTCTTGTGGCCTCTTTTTTAATAAAGTTATGAATAGCAAGGAGTGTGCAACGGTAGCACAAACGGACCTGGACATGTGCCGGCTTGTCCCAAGGATTAGCTCACACTGAACAATACAACAACAACAACAAGAAAAACTTGGCGCTGATCTCAAATAACTGAACAGCCGTCGCAATCTTCATTCGCATGTGTCTTGTGTATATCTATTGGATATATCTTGATGATCTTATCTTTAGTGGCCTGCCTCATATTGCAGTTTCCGTTTCCATGTGTGTGTGTTTTTTTCTCTGTGTAGTTTGAGCTAATGCTAATCTCTGCGCTATTTGTTGCCTGGCATTTTGTCGTTGAGATTAGTTCATGTTTTGTTTGTAGTTGCGGCATCAAATGGAAAACAGCTTCAAACATTTCCTTCAATCACTTTACAAACTTGTGATAAATACTTGTCTGAATTGAATAATGTTGGTATTATTTCGATTTATGTGTAAGCAATGCTATTAAGGAAATCTCATAAGTTAAAGAAATTATTTCCGATTTTTAATAATCATATAAACCTCTACTTTTCAATCTCTTAGAAAATTGAATATATTTAAAACGAAATCTTTAAGATTGTTTACTCATTTTTAAATTCATATCTAACAATTACTCCTTTTTTTGGCACAGAACTTTGATTAAAAGAGAAATTCCTTAAGCGAACCTTTTAAGGTATTTTCCTATAAAGTCTTGCTCAAATTGACTGATAACAAAATAGTTGAAAAACATTTTAGAATAGAAAACAAGATGGAATTTGTGTCAAAAGTAATTCAATTTAACTAAAGTATTCCACAAACAAATTTAGTATTAAAAATTATGTTATTATTTAATATTATATATCATATTTATTATATGTGAAAGCGTCACTTCTAAGCAAAAAGTTGTGGGATATAAAAAAAATATCAATAGAATAGCGAAAACAGCAGAATCGATAAAGCTACATACTTATTTATAATATAATTAAATAATAATTAAAAAGCGATACATTATAGCTGCTTATTTATAATGTAATTAAATAATAATTAAACAAATTTTGCCTATTAAATCTCATTTTTATTAACAATATGCATATTAAAAATACTCTTCATAAGTTGAAGCATCAAAGTCGCTCCATATTTTACACACACACACACACCGCACTTGACCATAAATGCTCGCAAACTAACTCACACACACACACTCGCAAACACACACACACACACGCGCACACAGTCGCTCATGTGTAAACCGCAACTTGAATTTATATTTTATAAAATCTACTTGCATGCACACACACACACACACACACACACAAATAGGCATAAGTTTGTTTGCGTGTGTGTGTGACTTTTTATGTAATTCTTTGCATACGCCACGGCGCGAGCACTTGAAGCGTTTTTAACTTAATTTTTGGAGCGTGCACAAACATATGCTCTCACACACACACACACTCGCCTGCTCTCCTGTGCAGCCCAAAAAAAAGTCTGCAGACTCTCCCACTCAAAAGCACTTAATAAAGAATAAAATGCATAAGGGAAATAGGTAAAAAAAAAAAATAAACGAACTGCTTTTAAGCACCGTTTTTCCATTTGACTTGATAGACAAGAGCATGACGGCGGCGGCTGCGTTAACTGCGACGGCGTAACGGTAAATGCCCAGTCATTCAGTTGTTGTTGTTGTTGCGTCGCTGGCGTCGTTGCGTCTTCGACGTTGCCAAACCGCAGTCAGCGGTTTGTGTAAATTATGCGTATTTAGCAGCTCGTTATTGTTGTTGTTGTTGTGGCTGCTGCTGCTGGCGTCGCTGCTTTTATTTTGCATACAAAAACTGTTGGCGACTCTCTTCTTATTCATGCTGTTGTTGTTTTTATTGCTTTTGCGGCTCTTTTTCTTATTTTGCAATTTGACCTTGACAAAAGCAGACGCTGGCAATCAGTTGGCGGGGGCGCTGACAGAGAGAGAAAGAGAGAGAGAGAGAGGGAGCGAGAGCGAGAGAGCAAATGACGTCTTGCTGAGTCTAAAAGCCATTGAGCTTTGTTTTGACTGAGAATGTTTTTATAATTAGGGTTCAAAATTGAAAGTGCTACTTGAAGCAAGGGCTAAAAATAGTTTTCAGCTGTAGGGAAAATAGCGATGTGAGCTTGATAAATTTATGCATATACAAATAAGTGAAATTAGGTAAAATGTAAGCGTCTCGTTTGTTTTATTTGAAGTTATTATTTTTACTTTTTTTAATTTTGCTGCCTTACCGCATAAAAAATACTACTATTTACACAAATATGCTACCTTTTCACACTGCCATATGGCAGTTGGTGTCGCTGCTGCTGGTTTGCGTCTGTGCTAAGCAGTGCGCTTTATTACACTTAGCACAGTTTCGCCAACAAGCAGACAACAGATGGCGCCAGCAGTCGCAATGAAATGAAAAATCAATTTATAAATTAAAGAAAAAAGAATATTAACTAAGTTTCTTTAACTAATTTTTAGGTGATTGCCGGCCCATTGTTTCACGGTTGGCTGGAACCCTCATCGGATGTGGCCACATGGCTGAAAAAAATACGCGCCGTTCAAAGTGATGAAATCGAAGAGGCTAATTTAAGGAATTTCATCATTGCCGGCTATGTGAGCAAAAAAAATAAATAAAAAAAATACAAAATTAATGATAATTGTTGACAATGTTTTAATGATTTCTTTTTTCTCTCGCTTTTTTAGCTGTGGTACGAGACGAAACGGGATGTAAATGCTGGCGCTGAAATTGTTGTCGATGCCCGTCCGAAAACCCCCTACGATATCAGCGACAGTTTCATGAACGGGGCAGGGGCTGCCGGCGGCGCGGGCAGTGCAACATCGGCGGGGGCCAGCAGCACAGCAGCCGCTGCAGCGGCAGCAGCAGCAGCAGCAGCAACTGCAATGGCAGCGGCAGCAACATCCAGCAACAACAACAACAACAACAATGGTTCGTTGCCAGGCGATGATCGCAGCGATCGTGATAATGGTGAGTGCCCCTAATATATATGATATATAATAAGAATTGAAGACATATAAAAATATTTAGTTATCTCCTTATTTACTGTCAACGAAAGTCAGTCGACATTTGATAAAAAATACAAAGAGTAAAAATAAAATTTAAATTTACAAAAATAAGATATATTTATACGATTTATAAAATGATATGTATATATATGTGCATATTTTATTATATGGAAAATGTTGTCATAAGATATATATATGTTTGATCAGCAACAATAGCCGAGTCTATATGACTAACTTTGTCTATCCATCTATTTACCAGACTATCTGAACTCAGTCAATTTTGAGTTTATTTTGATGACATTTTAAATATATGCGTCTCTTTGACTGCGAAAGTATATATCTTGGAGTTAGTTGGATCGGATCACTATATCATACAGCTGCCTTAGGAATCATCATCAGTCGGAAGATGAGTTGTTGTATGAACAACTCTTTTGTTTTTTTTTTTATTGAAATAGGTAATAAATATGCCTGCAATATTGAGGCAAAAAGTGTCTGTCGGATCGGAGCACTATATCTTAAGATGGGCAATTATTCCACGACAATTCTTAATCTTACAATCACTAAAATATTTTTCAATTCGAAGAGAAATTAGCTAGAAACTTAGACCAAAAGAGAGAAATAGTTTCGAATTTGAAATTACTTTTATATTTATTATATTTATAGAGAAAACACAATTAGGCGCTGCTTGAAAATATAAATTCAAGTTTGCACACAATTTAAACATATTTATCTTGATTACATCAGATACAAAAAAAAAAAAACATTATTTTTAAATGTGTTTTGGTCACGGTGGACTTTTAATGTGTAAAATGCCCATATACGCATTTAAAATGTATGCAGGCTGTGTGAAGCATATTTAATACAGCTGGCAATCAAATTAACGCCCGCCAGGATCTAAGAGAGAGAGAGAGAGAGAGAGAGAGAAACAGTAGCAGTTGAGAAATACGCGTGACAAAGCCGCTGGCACGAGCCAAACACAAAATATGATATCATCAACAGGCCACATCAGCATCAGCATCATCATCAGCATCCGCATCCGCATCAACATCAGCAGGATCAACCACTGAGGACAGCTTATGATGAGGGCTGCTGCTGCAAGCAGGCATTCACTCATTCACACTCCCCTTCCCCTTCCCCTATCCCTATCCATACCCCTCCCTCTGGCCTATCACCCTTTGTTTAGGTCTACCCCTCGGTAAATGGGCAATTTGTGCTCATGGGTTCCGTGGTGCATGCAATCTGCGGCAATATTGTTGGGCAGCGTAGAGAACCGCACATGTTTTCATTTGTTATTAAAATGTTTGATAATTTCATTAGGCAAGTCAGTGAAAATAAAAGCGGGCTGCAAATGATACCGATCCCAACTCTGATCCCGAACCGAACCGATCCGATCCCGAATATTTTGTGTGTGTTTCGGGCACACGCTTAATTTAATCCTAATCCAACACTGTTTGCTGTGTTGCGTCTGTTTGCCAATCCAACCCCGCCAGATCGGAGCGTGTTTGCCTATAAACATGTGGGATTTGTACACGTCTCATTTGCCAATTCCCATCGGTTTCTGTAGATGGCTTTTCAACTTTTTCCGCTTTTATCACGCGTCGAAATCGGTTTTTATGTTTTTCGAAAATTGTTTAAAGCCAGCTTAAAATTTGAATATGTTATGGATATTAGCATATGGTTTTTTTTTGATATTTTTTTGATATGCAAGCCATGATTATCTGACAGCTTCTCACTCCTGCCGCCTCTGTCAACTTTGGCTCGTTGCTTTTCAATTAAAGTTTTCCCATAGAGTCCACCTGTGAATAAAAATGGACTCGTGACTTTTAAGCGTATTTCGGTGCAAGTTTTTCTTCCGTTAACAGTCACGGATTGTTAAGCACACGAACTGCGCTCGGCTTCGGGCGCCTGCTCGGCAAAAAGACAACGCATGTCCTTAATGTCCTTAACTATTTTGAATGCCAGATGGGCGAGCGAGTTGCAAGAATAAGTTGCTGCGATCCTTAATGCAGCTAAACAGGGTTGAAACTGGTTGCCGCCAGTCAAATGCTAAGCATCGTTGAGTTGAAGGTGGAATTGGAGGTGGAGGTGAAGGTGGAGGGTCTAAGATTGACCGTTACATTTGCGAGACATAAGGAATTCATTTGAAATTTGAATAATAAAACGGAAGTTGAAAACGGAAGCAACTTTTATAATGAAACAGTTAACAGTAAAGAAATTAAATTTATTTCAAAAGTGTAGATTTTTAAAGCATCAATCAGCAGTGGAATATTATTATATATATCAAATCAATTTCTTCTTCTTCATTAATGACGAGCAGCTTATAAAAATGTGTAAATAAAATGCGTATTTATTTATACAAAGTGCGCAAAATGCTTGCAAAAAGAAATAAATGTAATAAAAACCCAATTAAAACTTGGCCAACATCAGCTTTGAGCCAAGTGCTCTGCTCGGTTACTCCATTCGCATTGCTTAGCTGTTAATTTTCAGCGAACTTCGCAATGAAATGACAAAAAAAAAGTACACACAACTGTGGCACCTCATCAGGCCTGCAGCAAGTTGGAAAGCAAACAATAATAGGAGTCTAAGGCTAAACCACTTTTGAGATGGCTTTCAGCTTAGCGCACGCGGTGCGACTTCAATCGACCAATCAAAGATTAACAATTGAATTCAGTACTCGTAATACTCGAAGTACGAGTTGATTTCAGGGAGCACACGCCAACAGCAACAGCAACAGCAACACCAACAGCAACAACAACAGCCAACACCAAGACCAAGCCCAAAAATCAAATCTTAACTAACTACCAGTACACACACATATATATATATATATATATACTGTGACATTGTCGCCAACAAAGTTGATAGATGATTAATGAGCTGGCATGTTATGCCGAGTTACCAAGACTATAGACAAAAAAAGGCATGAAGTAAGACATATCTTAATCATGCCGAAGTTGGCATACTCTTGTAGAAGATATAAACCTTGATTGTTCCTATAGCAGCAATATAGAATACAGTAGTCTAATCTTTGTCAAAATATGACTAGTCATAAGGCATTTTGAGATATGTTTGCTAAACTGTAAAGTTCATCAAACACTAAGTCACCATTCCTATGACAGCTTTATGATATAGTGCTTCGATCCAGCTGACTTCAACATATATACCACCCTCAGCTAAGAAAAAGCATATATTTTAAATTTCATCAAGATAACCCCGAAACTGACAGAGTTCACATAGTTGGGGTAAATTGGTGGTTAGACAAACTTGGCTCAATCGACTCAATCTGAAACTAATATACTTCAAGCATCTCAATCAATATGTTACACACCTAACAAAAAATCCAAAAAACTCTTTGCAAGCGTATTTCGAAAAAAGAATTAAATAAAATACAGAAACCCAAAACCAAAAACTAAAAAAATAAAAAAAAAAATTTGGCTTCTTCTTTCTGCTAAATGATCATCGTGTGTCAATTTGGGCATCATTAGGAGTGTTGTTTTTGTATTTTTCATTTTTTACCAAGCCGAACCCTTTTTTTATTTTATTTATTTTTTTTCTTTTTTTCTTTGGCCGGCTGCCAAATCGATTAGCAGGCGGATCTAACTTTGATATTTGCTACAGTAGTTGTAAGGTGTAAATAATTCAATCAATCATTTGTCAACAGTTTTTGGCTTCCGTTTAGGACTGAGCTGAACGTATTCGATTCAGGGTCAGGCACACGATATAGACATAAAACTCCCTCCTCCAACAGTTCCTCCCCCCCCTGCTCTGACCATCTTGCATCCTGATCGCAGTGACTACCATTTTCGAGAGAGAGAAATAAAGAAAAAAATAATAAAATAGAAAACACGCCTCCATTGAAGTGTCAGCCAGTTGAGCGCTGAGGAGTAAATCAATCGACAATCTACCAGGTGGAATGTGGATATTGCTGCGACAGCTGCGACTGGTGAAAGGCGTGAAAGGATTGAGCTGCATATGTGCAGCCAAAGACCAAAGACAAAGGGGAGGTGTGCAGTGGAAGAGGGGCGAGGTGTTATTGCAATTGATAAGAAATTGATGTGAGCTGTTGGAATTTGATAGATTAGTCAAGAATTTTATACACAAGTGGGGAGATTTTCAGCCTTAATTGCATGCTTACAAACGTAATCAGAAGTAATCAGTGTGCGGCACAAACAGCTGAGCTTTGTGTGTGTGTTTCTTTTATAGATGGAAAGTTGCCTGATATTTGATTGGTTGATGTCGATTCTAGTCACATTCATCAGCAATTGAAAATGTATCCATACAATTGGAAAGAAATTAAATCTAATATATTATAAATTATAAGTAACTTTATATGCCAATAATCTTGATACAGTTTTCGAGTAGTTTTATATTTAAATAAATATATTTAAATTTTTCTCAACATTTCTTCATTTCTTTAGACCAATTAGATTAGAAATATAACCTAAATTTTATACCACTAGAAAAGGATATCTTCCAGTCTTTAACTAGAGTAAAGTACTCTTGTTTGGTTACCAATTTTCTCAGGCTGCTTATCTGTGGGCCAGCTGACGTTGTGCCTGCCTCGAAGAGTAGTTGGGCTTGGGAGAACCTTTGCTCTTACCAAATCCCACGCTTCCTCCCAGACTTGACCATAAGGCACAAGTTGACTTGACGTGGGAATCTTTAGCTGGGAGACGAAGTTGGGTGAATTTTAAGTTGCTGCCCTCCTCCTCCTCCTCATGCTGAGCATAATGCACACTCGCTGAATGGAAATTAACTTTTGACCCGAAACATACAATATAGACGCGACCTGCAATTATTGAGTCGCACACAGGAGCACATGCATCAAGTCACCCCTGTAAGAGTGGGGTGGGGGGGTGTTACTGCCTTGAGAGGCAACACCTGTGTGTTCTGTGTGTGCCTCACTGCTGTCGCTGTGCCACTCAGTTGCTCAGGTGCTATATGACTTTTGTAACAGAAATCAGTCCAACGGAACCGAAGCAAACCGCTAAAAACCGAGCGACCCCTTGCTGGATGTGTGTTGCATGTATTGTTGCTGCTGTTGTTGGTGTTGTTGTTATTGTTGCATGCATAATCTTTACTGGTCACTGTCATCCCCTAGGCTGCATTCTTTGCTGCTGCACTTGGCTCACCTGGTGGTTGACCAAGTTCACGACGCACACAGCTCGTCCAAAGTCGTCCGTCATTTCCCCTCGGAATTGTCATTGGGCTTTGTGTGCTTGCCACCAGGACCTCTCAGCCAGGACCTTTGCTCTATATACACGTATGTGTGTGTGTGTTAAGGGGGTGCTTTACTTTCATTTCGGCAACAATTATCTATTCAACGTCAACGGCAACAGCAATACCCTATATGAGACAGATATGTATATGAGTGCACACGATTCTTTGGTCGCTTGCTACCAATTTTGTGTTAAGTGTTTGCGTGTTTACTTCTGTGTGTGTGTGTGTGTGTTGGTCATAAGCCAGTGCGTTCGTCCGTCTGTGCCGGGCTAGTCCTTCCGCAGATTGTTAGCGGGCAAATAAAATATTAGCTTCGACGGCATTATGCGGCACAGTGCGACACACTTGTTCCTCAAACGCGAAACCGAACGGTTGTGTCAAGTGCTACCTAAAACTTATACAATATATAATATCATCTCGACTTGTCTGACTTAACTTAGCACTTAGCTGAAGAGCTTACATCGCGCAGTAGACTCAACTAAAGTGTGAGTGTTGAATTTGCTTGAAAGAGTTCTAAGAACTCGAAACCAAAGTTAAATTAAATAAATAGGAAACAATCTATTGAATATTATTTCTTGGTGCACGTTTAAGAAATAAAAATTTATATTTTTTTATGAATATAATTATTAAGATGTATATAAAATATCTTCAAGGCAGTTAAAGTCTAAATATAAATTATGAATGGCATCATTTATAAATGATTATTAAGAACAATCTATATACAAATAAAAAATATACTTATTTCTCAACTGATCTTCAAATTTGTTACAAATATAATATATATATATATATTGATCTATGTTTGCAGGCTTTTATAGCGGAGACGAGAAGAAAGGCGACAACGATTTCACGGACGACGAGAACGGTTTCGATATACGCTGTGAGGTGTGTGATAATGTCTATACGGATTTAGAACGGTAAGCGAGGCCAATTGGCAATTATTATTACTAATAATATTATATAACTATCTCGTAACGCACAACAACTTGGTTATAGTTTTGGTTTTGGTTTTGTTTTTTGGGGCTCGTCGGAGAATGTCCACAAAATTGCTTTGGCATTTAAAAGCGCCGCCAAGAGCGACAATAATCTAAATCAAATTTGATTTCACAAAAACAAAAACAACCTATAAATGTTAAAACAGAAAACAAGCTGCCAATTAGCTTCCAACTTACCCATAGAATTATGGGTAAGGCGCATTGCCAAACTATTGACTCGAGGCAAAATAAAAAATAAACCCAAACAGCAGCAGCAGCAGCAGCTGAGAAAAAACTATTCCCAATTGTTGCTAAACGTTTGAGCCGCATGTCGGCGATCTTAATTAAAAGTTGATAGCGATAATACCTATTTAGTGTGGCCAATAAAATCGCCATTAAACAACAACAACAACAACAACAACAGAAATACTTCAGCCAGTTTGAAAGTGAGAGTTGCCAACGCAACTGAGTAGCAAATGAAATGTTTACAAAATTCATTTATTTATTTATTTATTTATTTGTTGTTTTTAAATCAAACGATTAAAATAACGTATATTCTGACTGGTTTCAATTGATGTGCAATACATTTAATTCGCATAGAAAACAATTACAACAATCTCTTTTTTCTGTGGAACATTATAACTTAATCAAAATATATTGTAAAAGGCAATTTAATGTTCAATTAAATGTTTCACAAGTTGTACAGATGAAGATAGTTAAAGATAGTAAGCATTAAATTGTTTGAAATCATTTTCAAAGTGTGATAACATTTAAGATACTCACTAATTATTGTAGTATTGTATTGTAGTATTGACTACCAACTACCAACCAATTACAACATTTAATGCAAAACTTTTGTCTAATATTTACAAATGTTTTGCATTGTAAATAACTCGAATAATGATTGCAGTAAGAGCAACATGAAAATGACATTTCTCGCTCCTCAAATTTTTTAGCTTTTTTCTTTTTTTTTTTTGGCCTTTTATGTTTGTTTGCTGTTCAAGTGCTAAAGTGCGCTTTGATTTCATTCACCGAAGGTTGGGGGAAATTGTTATGGAGCCCAGCCAGCCAGCAAGTGGGTGGCCAGCAACACTTATCAGTGTGTATGTCAGTGTGTGTGTGTGTGTGTGATTTATTGAATTTTAGATGAGAGAAAAAAAGGTACTGAAAGGAGAAGCTATGCGAGCAACCTTTCCCCCGTTTCTCTGTCTGATGTCTGCGTGTCGCTGAAGTCCGTCAGGCTTTGCAATTTATCTGATGTTGAACATGCATAGTTTGCTGCTATTGTTATTGTTATTGTTGTAGTTGTTGCTGTTGTTGTTGTTAATGTTGTTGTAAGCAAACAAACGCCCACACTTCAAACGCACAAGAGGCAACTGGCCCAGTCAACTCTTCCATGTCGATGACAAAAATCACAACTACAAATGCGAACAAGAGCGCTCACACTGGGAGTTACCCTGTAAATTTAACTAACATATACTTGCAGTATTTTATTAAATTTTTGTATTTATTGTTTATCAAATTTGTGCTAATTTCTATGCCAAAATTCAAAAAATATAAATATGATAAACTAAATCAGAAATATGCGGATTAAATACAGATATGCAGATATTTTCAAGTGGCTACAGGGTATATACTAAAATCAAAAAATAAAAATAAATTCAAATGAAACGAAAAATATATATATATATATATATGCTAAAAATGTGTCCGCCTTTTGTCGACGGTTGCTCCTCCCACGCGTGCGCTGCTCGCTGATAATCATCGCACTCAATATGTCTGTTTGTGTGTGTGTGTGTGTGTGCTCCACAATCAAGGACAACAGCACGACAGACAGACATGTCACTGGAGGACACTCATTGGCCGCAGCTGTTGCAGGACGCGATCGCTTATCAGCAGCTGGCATATTAAATATTGAACATCATTTGACTAATTGACGCCAGGGAGAGCTCACCAGGCTAGTGGATAGTGGGTAGTTGGGGCTGGGGGTGGGGGAGGAAGAGGAGGAGGTGTGTGGGCGTTGTCCATAGTTGAACAACAAACAAAAGGAGCAGCGCTGTTGGGGGCGTGTGAACTGTCGCACATGACGCTGATTCGAGGCGGGCGATTGTTGCCACAAAATGCTAATTTCATTCGCTGATGACAGCGACATCGATAAGAATATGCCTATATTCCACAAAACAACAAAAACAAAAATAAAAGGAATATCCTTAATAATAACATTACTAATATGCCTCGAACTATTCTTGAACTGCTTCCAGATTGGACGATCATTTAGTGGGCGCACATCATTTCAAGCGCGGAGAATTCCCCTGCGAGCTTTGTGCCCAGCGTTTCAGCCATCGTCCTTTGCTAATCAAGCACGGAGCCATCGCCCATAATAATATACGCAAATATTCCTGCGAGAACTGTTCCAAGGTAAGTCAAGACAAACATCAAATACAAATCGAAAAGATTAGCTAGATTCTGAAAGAGAAAAATGCTGAGAAATATAAGAAAATAAGAATGTTTTTGTTATTAAACATGAAATTAAACAGATTAAAATAGTGTGGATTAATAAGGTTAATCCTATTGCTAATGGGTGAATTATATTAATAAAAACAATTCTATTGTTTGTAGTTTTGAATTGAGTTTTGTGATTAGAAATAAAATAAATGCGAGAAGAATTCAGCTTAATTTTAAAGAGCTTTGGCAAACTGCTCTGATGTAGATGAGATATAATTTATAATCTAGCTATGGATAATAACAGGGAAGCTGCTTAGACTCTTTTAGTATATATTAAATAATTGTAATTCCTTTTCAATTGCCTTACCTATGAATGAGAGACTGACTAATGACAATAAAAATATAGATTTAAAATTGCTTCAAGATTGAAATGTAATCAATTCTGCAGCTATTTTTTTATTACAGAAACATAACTCTGCATTAATCTCAAGTGACAAACTAAGGCAGCTTTTGTGGTCTGTGTAAAGAATGTAAGGGATTTAGATTGCTGCCAAGGTGTGAGGCCAAAATGGGAGTTATGGCCAACTATCAGGTCATTAATTATTGTATCAGCTCTTGTGGTATGTGGTACACAACTAAAGACTTTTGATTTCAAGCAGATCAATAGCCGCGGGCCGTTCAGTTGTTAACTTGGCCTGAAAAAACCTCTTTCGGTTGCTTGTCTTTTTTGCTGCTTCCACTTTACTTCCCCCCTCCCCTCCCTCCAATTACTCCCCTCCACCCACAGTCTGTGCTGCTGTCGCACGCGCTGGGGTTAATACGAAATCAGGGCGTGTACTCATCCAAAACACTTAAGCGACCATTTGAACCGCTCTTGAGTAATGAACAAACTTTGTTGCTGTTGTTGTTGTTGTTGTTGCTGTTGTTGTTGTTGACTTTTTGTTGTACATCTTCGCGCTGCATTTGAATGCCAATGTAAATTGAAAGGGCGAGGAGGAGTAGTATGAGGAGTATGGGGAATTGTTGTAGGAGAGCTTTTTCAAGTCAATCCATCGCATTCGATTCCATTCGATTCGATTCGATTCGATTGCGAGCGATTCGTTTCATGCCTAGCACTTCGTCATTGTCATCGACATCTCGACTCCGACATCGACATCTCTTGCAAAGATGTTTTAATGGCATGTTGATTACAATCTTGTGGTCGTCAGCTACCAATCCAGTGAGCCAGCTCCAAGATTTTCTTTTGGATTTTCCCTTTTTTTCTCTCTCCATATACCGCGCACCCAAAGGGTCACATCAAATTGGGAGTATCTACGACACACAAGTTGAAGAAGATATCTTTGACTTTATGCAGCTAAAAATCAAGTGCAAGATTAGCTTACGCAGTAGCTAAATAATATAGCGATGACTGTTCCAGATCAGAAATAATTATTGATAATTATAGATTTTCTTCTGCTTAGAATTATGTATATTTATTCGTAGTGTTTGCAGGGTATCTGGCCGTGTTGCACACTTGACTCGATCAGTGCTCCTAACATGCTTTTTCATTTCCAACGGTATTTCAATCGGCCTGCCCCGCGATGCATTACAGTTAGTTTACTTAGCGCTCTGTAATTGTTTCGGTGGCATGTAAGTAGCACGCATTGTGGTAGAGCCGAGGGACGCCAGCCCTACACCCTACCCACTGCCCCCCTGCCCCGTGCACCGAGAGCGACATAAACGGGAGCCACACTGAGGCTAAACAAATGATGATCGATCTTGTGGGGCACTCGGTAACGGGCAGTGCTACATAAAAGGCCAATACTTTCGCTGGGCCTTCGGGTCCAGCATTGACAGGCCCCAAACGATGGAAAAAAGCAACAACAACAACAACAACACACATATATATATATATATATAGTAAGTAAGACTGGGGGTATCTGCAGCTGTCAGCTTTGTTTGTTTTAAGCAGGCGGCTTAAAGCGTTACAAAAGGGATTTGCCACGGATCTAACATGTTTTCCATTTGCGCTTAGCTGCACTTCACATTTGAAGGCAACACTGAGTCACAATTGAACAGCCACGAAATGGGCATCGCAACTACTGAATTGGAAAATACTTATCTGCCCGACTTCCTGGACTTTAACGAATTCAGTGCGCTATATATGTGTGCAACAGTAAGTGGCAGCTATAGACTAACGATCCGAACTGAATCGACACCAAATTAATCTAGTCAAGGGTATACATCTCCCATCAACTTTTTAGCTGAACTGAATTGAATTAACTTCATTAGATCTAAACTTATTTCGAGCTTTTGGCAAATGCTTCCTTCTAAGTCTAAAGCTGAATTGAACCAACTTCAGTTGCTCTTTACTTTCTTGTAAGTCTAAGTCTTCTATCTAAGTCTAAGTCTTCTATCTAAGTCTAAAGCTGAATTGATTTTGGGAAACATTTCTTTCTAGACCCTCGACCAGCTTAAAGCCCCAAAACTGTTGGTGACATTTGAACTAGCTCGATTTACATTTGAGCTTTAGCTGACATTAACTGCCAGCAGCAGATATTCATAGTTCACTATATAACTACTACCAATACCATTAAGTTTGATGTTGGCCAGTTTACTTTTGCAACAGCTAGTAAAAGTCAGTAGCCACAGGAACTGCCTGAAGATATGGCAGTCGTAATTCCAACGTAATTAGTATTTTGCTGTTTGTGAAATGAATTTCTTGTTGGGTTTAGCAGCTGGAACTTGTGCTGCTTTTAACCAGTTTACAGAGCACACAGCACACAACACGGCTGCATTGGAGATCATCTACCCAGCAATCTTCTTTCATTGCCCTACTCCAGACGCCTTTGGGGCTGACCCCACGTACGCTCCTAACGCCACACAGCAACAACTGCAGCAGCAACAACAACAACTGCAGCAGCAGCAACAGCAACAACAACAACTGCAGCAGCAACAACAACAACAACAACTGGCTCACATCCCAGACAATCGCATTCCAAAGGCGAACCTTTTGCCAAAGCAGCCAAAGCCAAAGCCAACTCCAAAGCAGAGAGACGCAGATCGTTGTTGCCGTCGCCTTTGCTGCCTGCGTTGCCTGCATGCCACAACACCTACACTAAAAAAAAAAAAGCCATGAGTCTTTAGCTTCAGCTGTAGATTGTTGTTGTTGTTGTAACACCATCGTCGTCGTCGTAGTTGTTGTTGTTGTTGTTGTCGTTGTCTTTTGTGGCCGTTTTTCGCCTTTTTGGAGAGGTAGTTGAATCTAATCCATTTGATGTAGTTATAGCACGAGCTATTCTTGTGTGTGTCGCACTCTCTCTCTCTCACTCTCTCTCTCTCTGCCTCTTGCCACATCTTCTCTCTCTCACTCTCCCGCTGTTGACTGGCGATAGACAAAAAAGGCTGACTCGATCATCGTTTGATATGAATTCGTAGCGCATTATGACAGCATGATTAGGCATAACAGTTTCGTAAAAGGCAGCGCGGGTGGAGGCTGACCGAAATCAAGTTTGAAGTGGGTACTCAAACTGGTACCGCGGCACTATATGAACGCCTGCTCTAGCCTCAACCTCCCTCCCCCTCGCCTTGCCCCTGCCCCTGCCCCTCTCACATTGACTTGTGTCTTTGCCTGGCCCAAAATGAATGGCTCGATCTGTCATTGCGTTAGCCCCCCAAAATACAAAAACCAAAAAAAAAGTAGAAAAAAACAAAGCTTTAGCTGTGGATTTAACTAGGGTTGCATGCCGCGTAGAGTCACAGTGACGAGAGGATTTACCTCAAATATGTGATTTTTGTGTGGAATTCTTTTAGTAGTTTACCGTTTTGTGTTTTGAGTCCAAAATTGAATGTCATATTCTGAGTAAATAGTTACAGTTTGACAACTATTGAATTTTGGAACAATCAATTTTTTTTTTTTTTTTCTCTGTTCTGCAATGTTGCAAGCTTGCTTCTTCAAAAGTAATAAAGTTATTTTGATTTTGAGTTTATAGTTTTTTATATACTTCGAATACTATCCCCAAAAATCAATATTTTCCACAGTTTTCAAGTCAAAATTTACGTAATTTGTTCGGTTGATTTGAGTATCAAAAATTAATCATGAAATTGTTTTGCATTTGTTAATCTTTTTATGCTCAATTATTAATTATTAATTTAAGTCGTTTAATATTTAATAGTTTAATATTTAAATTGTCTGAGAGGCACATATTTTGTGTATCACAGTTCGCTTCACAGTCACAGTTTAGAGTGAAGCATGTGACGCATTGCTGGCTTAAATAAATATTGACATGGCTTGTAGTAGCCAGCTTAAGGGGGGACGGGGGCGTCACAGAGCAGGGGTAGGTGGAGAGAGGGGGGGGGGGCAGGGGGAAGGGGCACCTCGGGGATGGTCAGGCTTACGACAATTGTAGCAATTGATGTTAATAATTGACGAAGGTGTTGCTGCCGCTGCTGTTAGTGGGTGGAATTGTAGTTGTTGTTGTTGTTGTTGTTGTTGGTGGTGTTACCTTTGCGTAATCTTATAGAGCGGTGAGCATTGTCTGGGCAGCTTCGCATAGATCCGTTTAGGGGCCATAGCAGGCATGATGATTGATTAATTTCAGTTTCATTTCATTTGGCACTGGAAACAGAGCAAACGTCTTTGTTTTTTCCTATTTTTTAAGGTAGTGCGCTCTCTCAATAAATACATATACATACATATATATATATATATATATAATGTACTCATTGAGTTTGGTTTTTTTCTCGTTTCTTGTTTTTTGCGCAGGTATTCTGTGACCCATCGAATTTACAGCGTCATATTCGCGCCTATCACGTCGGCGCTCGCAGTCATCCGTGTCCGGAGTGCGGTAAAACATTTGCCACATCATCGGGTCTCAAGCAGCATCAGCACATCCACTCATCGGTTAAGCCGTTCGCCTGCGAGGTGTGCTTCAAGGCGTATACGCAATTCTCCAATCTGTGCCGCCACAAGCGGATGCACGCCGACTGTCGCATGCAGATCAAGTGCAAGAAGTGCAACACGAGCTTCAGCACGGTCACCTCGCTGTCCAAGCACAAGAAGTTCTGCGATACCTCCGACAGTTTTCGCAGCCAGCAGCAGAGTCGCCTGCAACACGCCCACGATCGCCACCATCACCAGCATCAGCATCAGCATCATCAGCAGCAGCAGCAGCAGCAGCAACTCTCGCAGCCACCGTCACTTCTGTTGCCACCCGGTGCCCATCAGCGACTTGCCGCCGAGACATCAAATTCGGCCATGGCCACGCCACCAAATCGCATATTTATGATGCATCCGACACCGTCGTTCTTTGCTGGCTTTCCCAATTACGGGCTGCATGGCTTATTTCCCGGCTTCCAGCAGGCTGGCAATTTTCCGCTATCACACATGTTTCCCAATTCGCAGCTGGGCGATATGAGTCGCGGCCTGACGCCAATTGTCTCCCAAACAGCCGCATTCCAACAGCAGCTGCAGTCAGCGATGACCATGAAAACCGAATCGCCACATTTGAAACGCGACTCCAGCACACCGGAGCGTAAGCCGATCAAATCGGAGCTGCATCCCTCTGACGAGGAGTCCAATTCGCTCAGCTACGACGAGCTCAAGCTGAAGTCGAGCAAGTTGCAGGTGCAGCAGGAGTCGGGCAAGGTGAAGCGGGAACTTAAATCGGAGGCCAGTTGCACCCAGCAAGCCGACGAGGACAGCGATCATAATAATAGTGACAATGATAACGATAATGATATTGAAAATGATAGGGTAAGTTGTCCACTCTCAAATACAACACTCTCAAGTCTTAAGCATTGACAATTGATATTAATTTAAACACATATTTTATGGCTTTAATATTGCCGAGTGCTAAAATCTTGTTGAATTATTTCGCTAGCCAAAAATAAATATATATTAAAAATATTCATAAAAATCAACTAAAGATTTTCCTTAACTAAATTCCAATTTGAATTCTCTTCCTTACAGAAATCGATTGACATTGTTAGCACTCCGCCGCCAGCGGAAACGCAAATGAAGACCGAACCGGAAACGGCGGATGTGGACAAGAGCAGCGCTGAACTGCCGCTGGATCTGTCCATCAGTCGCAAGCGCCGCAGTTCGTTGTGCGCCGCCTCCACGCCCGCCCCGCTCTCCATATCGCTGTCGAGTCGCGAGCCTTCGCCCGAGCTGGACGCCGATGAGGATGAGGAAGAGGATGAGGACGAAGTGGAGCTGCTGGCGCCGCCGGCAAAGCAACCAAAGCACAGTTCCGGCGAATCGAGCACTTCCCGTCAGTCGTACAAGGGCTGCAGTCCGGTGCCAAGTGCAAGTGCCTCTCCCGGACCAACACCCTCACCCTCGCCACCCATCAGCACTGGCGGCGAGTTGAGCAGCATGTCGGAGAGTGCCGCTGCCAATGCAACGGCAACGGCAACGGCATCGGCAGCTGCCGCAGCCGCAGCAGCAGCGGCCGCCTCAGCGATGGCCTGTCCACGGCAACTGCATCCGCAGCTGCTGCTGGAGGAGCTCTACCGTACGCGATTCCCAACGCAGCCGTTTCATTTTTTAGGCCAAATGGGCGGACGGCCAGGTTTTGAGTCACTAAAGTCGCCAGCGATGGGTGCCGCACATGCGCCCATCAGTGGCGGCGGCTCGCGTCATCTGCCGTTTCCGCCCGAGCATAATTTCCACGAGGCACTCCGTGCCGCTGGCTTGGCGGCCGCTGCCGCCCGTCCGCCGACAGCGTGCAACGCCAGTGGCAAGCTAAAGGATCGCTATACGTGCAAATTCTGTGGCAAGGTATTTCCACGTTCCGCGAATCTAACACGGCATCTGCGCACCCATACCGGCGAACAGCCGTACACGTGCAAGTATTGCGATCGTGCCTTCAGCATCTCATCGAATCTGCAGCGTCATGTGCGCAACATCCACAACAAGGAGCGACCATTTCGCTGCCACATGTGCGATCGCTGCTTTGGCCAGCAAACGAATCTCGATCGGCATCTCAAGAAGCACGAGGCAGATGCTGGCGGCTTCGAGTACAATGATTCGCCCAGTTCGAATGAGGCAAATGATCGCGATGAGGCCTGCTTCGATGATATCCGTTCGTTCATGAAACGCGTCTACACGCCCACCAGTTTGGGCGGGGCGGATGGGGATACGGAGGAGTATGCGGGCAGTGATGATCAGTTGTCCGTTTCCACGCGTCAGTCTGCCAACTTTGACAAGGAGCTGCTCTCAAATGGCAACATCATCAACATCAACAACAACAATAGCAGCAACAATAACAACAACAACAACAATAGCAACAACAACAATAGCAACAACAACAATAGCAACAACAACAACAATAGCAACAGCAGCAGCAACAATCAGACTTTAAATACATCGGAAACAATTGCCGTGAGCACCTAAAGCATTTCTACTTTAGTATTCCCAGCTGCTGTTTGCTCTTTGCTGAATTTCTTGATAACAAAAACAACAACAAAAAAAAAAAAAAACAAAAAAAAATAAGAAAACCCTAAAAACATTACTTTAAAAACTTTACTTAAGCGTGCCTCCGAGAGGGAAAACTTATCTTATAAGTAGTTCGCATTTTTCCTTCTAGATATTTAACAATATAACTAAAAAATCATAAAGAATTATATAAAATAAAAAATATAAAAAAAAAACTACTTGTAGCTATGCAATCAATGGAAAAAGACGGTGAAGTAATCAAAAAATTAAAAAAAAAACAACATCGAAATCAATTTCAATTAAAAAAGAAAACACAAAATAAAAATCAAATCAAATGTTTCAATCGATGATATTAAAATGTAAAACTTTTCTGTAATCTTTGTAACTATGTATACAAGAACAACAACAACAAAAACACACACACACACACAAGCACACACCTAAATGTAAACTATGCTTATATACAACATTTAAACATATATAAATTGAACTTATATATTCTAGTTAACTTATATGCTAAGTTTTAGTTATGAGCTGTAAATTGAGCGGATGTAAATATGTATAAGTAAAGTCAAAGAAGCACTTTTGTCGGCCGGATATTTTGAATGCGATGCTATAGTGTTTACATATATAGGCTATATAGATCTATATGTACGATAAGCATGTTAAGTGCGAATAGGTACGAATAAGTTGAAATATGTTTAGTGCTAATTATTGCAATTCTCAAAAATAAATTTTATAACATTTACTTAACGTTTAAAATGGTATATGTATGTATATGGAGGAAACTGACGGATCGTTACGGATATATTGAAAAATCAATAAATAAAACAATCACATCAAATTAAATGCTTTTACTTGAACGAATACAACGAATATGTTTAATCTCGAAAGGAATTCGAATATTTCTACAACAATTTCTTGGGGTGGCTCCAAATTGCTCAATCTTTCTTAATTTGTAACAAATAACTTAATTGAAGCAGTTTCGTAAAGTTTTTTTTTCTCGTTTTTTTGATATACCCAAAAACAAAAAGAGGTTATAACCACATGGCCCAAGCACTTTGCAATCATAATAAAGCCATTAAAAAGCTCATCTACTGTAAATGAGCGCATAAAAGAAGACTTTATACACCCATCAATCCTGGCAGCGCCCCAAACATCATTTCGAACGCATTTGCCTATGAAGTTTGCTTTTATTATTAATCATTCGCACAAAAAACCAAGACAGAAGATAAAAAAAAAAACAAAAAAACAGAAGTTAAAGCAAAAGAAATAACCTGATACTTATAGCTTTTTAATATACACAGCAACAACCAAAACCGAAAAAAAACAGAAAAAATCGAAAAAAGAAGAAAAAAATAAAAACCAAGAAACCAAAAAACCAAACCTAAAGCATTCATTCATCCAAGCATCTATCTATCTTCGTATCTATCTAGCCAGCTATCCAACCAAGCCAACCAACCAAGCCAACCAGCCATCCAACCATCCATCCATCCATCCATCCATCTGCTCTGAATGCAAAGGCGTGATCGGCAAAGCGAGTTAATTACCCTTCCGGTTTAGAGTGTGTTACGCCTTCGGCGAAATGCGGTTAAAACTATGAGCTACCAATACTTTTCATTTTTTTGTTTTGTTTTTGTTTTGTTTTTGATTTTTGCCTTTTGTTTCTATTGCCTTTTATTTGGGGCTGCTTTGTAGTTTTTTAACTGAATGTTAAGTTGTATTAGTTTGGTGCCGTATTGGCATCAATCATTTTTTGTTTTGTTTTTTTGTTTTTTGCCATATTTGGCAAAGTTTCAACCTGTGCGCTTAAGCAGTGCACTACAACAGAGTACACAGCAAAAAAAAGGATGTATGGAATAGATCGGAATCAAAGTTTTAAGTTAAGTTCACTTCGATAGAAAAGTTTAAAATTAGTGAATAATTCTCGATAGAATTATATATGTATTTAGTAATACAAAATGTACAAATATATATTTAATAATCATCAAAAAAATACAAAAATGACAAGAGATAAACTGAAATATTTTCTTTTGCTTTTTATAGCATAGAACAGGAGAAGAATTGACTTTGAATGCTCATCGGATTCTTCACAATACACTGTAGACGAAGAAGACACTCAGTCAAACTATGTAGAATCTGCCAATTTTGAGACAATGAGAAGAAAATCTCAAGACACATCATAGAGAATTGTATAGTCTAACCCAGAAGAGGAGGCAGTTTCCTTGGGAACTTAAGATAGATGAAGGAGCGCTAAGCTCTGAAGGAGGCACAATAGTGCAAAGTAGGTCGCAGTGAAGCCTTAAATAATAATAATAATAATGTTCAATATCAAAATACAGTTGTATCGATGGGTCTCATGCCTGTACTAGAACTTGTGGCCGGATATATTTCCTTCTGCCTTTTACATAGTTTAGCACAACTTAATTTACCACATTTCCCATTTTGATGGGTTCCACGGATAACAAGCCAAAGGAACCAAATCCAAATACTTGCAACAACTAGTTCCTACTGCCTTAACTAATCGGTGCTCTTACAAAATGTTTTGAGCAGAGATTTTTTTGATTTTTTATTTTCCGTGTAGCAGACAGCATACAGAGTGCCACCCAACCACCGCACAGCACCACTCTAGCGGAGAGACCGTTACCTGCCGCCACACAATAGATCAGTCAAATAGTATTTGCGGTTCGGTCACTTTCGATTATGCGAAATACATTTGGCAGTTGGTAGCCAAAATAATAATCTTCGACTCTGGCCACAATTGGCTCGACTACGACATAGACACTGGCTCCGACTCCCTGCACCGCCTGGTCTTCACTTCTCTTCTCCTCACCTCTCCTTTTCTTTCCTCTATTCTCCTCATCCTCGTCTACGTCTTCTTCTTGTCCGGTGGTGGTGGTGGCGCGTGGTTGGCCCTGACCACAGTCAACTTCCACAATTGTGTGCCACAAATTTGAACGCAAAACTGGCCAAATTATGTTAAATTTGTGTAGAAAACAGTAGATAATTGGTAATTGCCTTCATTCCAATGAGACCCCCGCCCCCTCCAGCACCCAGCAGACCCACTACACCTAACAGAATTTAGATGTGTATTAGTCGGTTAATATGTTTTTTTTTTTTTCTTTTTTTTTTGCTGTTGTGTGGCCTTTGGGCGTTAATTGAAGAAGGCATAATTTGAGGCTGGAAATATTTGTGTTTGTGTTTGTGTTGTGTTGTTTAGTAATATGTTGGCCAATTATTCGATTGCTTTTGACTTGGTCAATGGCATTTTGGCCTGAACTCTACCAATTTCGGCTTAGGGTTTTAATAGCTTAATGCTTGAATTAAGACTAGAGCAAAGAATTAATGTCCAGCGGCGGCTTATGTAATCTGGTTGAATCATGACATCAAATAGTTTAAAACATAATTCGAGAACTACGAGCCTAAGCAATTATAAATCATTAGAATTTCATGAATAAATCAAATGCAGGTAATTTTATATAATACTAATTAGTATAAAGATCTTGAAGTTAATGCGGCAAATAAGAAAAATTGTGCGTAAGCAAATAAATTATTTATTCACTTTACTCCATAAAGTTTCAACCACTTCCTCTCTCTCTCTCTCTCCATCAGCAGACACAGGTGTGTGGAAAAGCCAATCTTACACCTGGCGGGAAAATAATGTGAATAAAATTATACAGCTTTTTTATGACACTGGAAACAATGCGGATATTTAATTTACTACTACCGTTTAATGGTTTTTTACACCCACAATCAAATACCCATTAAAAATGGGTAGATCACGAATTTAAATATTACATTTAAAATTATCCAACAAAAAAAAAGAAGCATTTCGAAACTAGTTCAAACTTACAACTGACATAACTTTGATTTTGACTTCTTGAATAGGGTTTAAATGTTAACCCTTGGGCACAGCTCATAAAGCATAGAAAAACAGTTTTAGTTTTAGTCAATTTCTTCAAAAAACTTGTAACACTTTTCGCCCAAAGCTGAAAATCTCAGCTGATGATGGTCAATCGAACAAGATGTAGACCAAAGAAGACCAAGAACAGGATGGCATTATGGGAAAGCAATCGCTTGGAATGGCTTATCCATGTGCTAGTGCCCAATAATGGTTGATATTCAGGTCACTCACACCTCTCGCTGATTACAGAGTAGCTGCACCAGCTACTCTGATGAGGAAAATGGAAAATGTGGAACAGCCAGAAAAATGTTGCACAACACATTATGGTAACGAGCATGCTTAAAATATAAATACATGGTCTATGGCCCTAGACCCTGACTGACTACCCTGACTAAGCAACTGTTGATTATGTGCCAGTTACACAAATGGCCCAGTTACACGCCCCAAACACCATGCTGCACACCCAGGCTCTGGTTGCCTGTTACACCGTTCCAAATCTGGCTGCCTTGGCCGGCCAAGAAAATGCGCATCAATGCGCACATTAGTCTGAGTATCGAGAACCGTTAAACGCTGCCAGACTCTGCGGCAGGCGGGCAAACATATCTCCCTGGTAGTATCTTGGGTGACTTTCGAAAAAGGCCCCCCGAAACGGATGCAAATGTAGACACAAGCCAAAGGCGCCCAAAGCTGGGCCACAACTGGCCAACTTACGAGTTGCTACACTGACAAAAAATCACATTTCCAAGTTGTGCTGTCAAAAGTTTTCTTTTGACTTTTACATAAGGATATCAACAATGTTTGTGTTTGAGTTGAGAGCAACAATTATATAATTTTTATATTTATTTTGAGCGTGGTTATGCTTCGCTATTCATTTTTAGAATTCACTTTATTTATGATGAGTTCTCTTAGTTGAATGGCTTTACTATTGAAAATCTTACACAAGTGTTAATGTATATAATAAGTAATAATATATAATCGAATCTGTGAAATTGTATTGCAGACACTTGTCCAACTCAGGGATTTCTGCCTCAACCCAAATGCTATGTTAAAATGATGCAATATATGAAAACAATGATCAAGTTATTGCATAAATGTATATTTAAAATATATTATTTCTCAATTTGCATAAT